GTGGGTCGCCTTCGGGGAGAGGAAGCTCCCTGGGCACCCTGCTCTCCTGTGCACCAGGGGGCAAACGCAGCAAGAGCGACAGCGTGGCCTAGCAGTTAGAGTGTCGGACAAGGCTCAGCCGTGAAACTCACTGGGTGTCCTGGGGCCAGTCGCTGCCCCTCAGCCTAACAGGGTTATTGGGAGGGTACAGGGCAGGGGGGAAGAACCCCCGAGGTCACCTTGAGCTCCCTAGCGGGAGAAAGGTGGGGTACAGACAAATAAATAAGCGACCCCAGAGCACAATCCTGACTGCCAGACAGACACAAGATGCCAGCAGAGTCTCTGTCTCCCAGAGGAATGGAGCAAGCTGCGGGATGGATGTTCAGAACCCAGCACTCTGGGCCACCTGCACTGACTGGCAGCAGCAGATCTCTGGGGTTTCAAGTAGGGAATCTCAGACCCTCCAAGTGCCCCAAATTTTCCAGGGACATCCTTGATTTAGAGAAGCTGTCCCAGTTTCTGAGTGATCCTGGAATGTCCTGCTTTTCCTTAGGACGTCCCTATTTTCATTGGAGAAATGGTGGAAGGTATGGAGTTATCTGACCCCCGAGCCGTCTGAATGTTTTTATATATGTTAGAAGCTGTCCAGAGTGGCTGCAGCAACCCAGTCTGATGTGTGGGGTATAAATAGTAAAATCATCATTACTGAATCCTTATTTTCATTGGAGGAATGTTGGGGGGTATGGAATCTATTCCAGCCCCGTAAGTGGAAAACCACTTCTCAGGCCACATTTGCTGCAGCCAGAGGGACCGATAAATCGCTGCCTTGCAAGCAGGTTCAATCCTGAGCATTTATTGGCAGGTGTGGGAGAGACCCCTGAAACCTGGAGAGAGCTTCTGCCGGCCAGTGCAGACAATATGGAGCTAGATGCAGCCTTCCGGTGAAGAGCGAAGGAGTCCAGGCCAGGCAGCACACAGACCCCCAGCTCCTGGTCAGCCTGAGAGGACGGGGCCACCTCTGCCGTCCAGATAATGGATTTGCTGCAGCGTCTTAATGTGGTGAGCCACCCGTGGGTGCCTTGGCAGGAAGGCGGCATGCAAGTCCAGTATAAACATGCAAAGAGAAACAAATGCACTTAACGGGGCTGCACCGCCGATAAGAAAACCCCTGCATGTTCCCAACATGCGCCAGGCCGCACTCAGCCAACTAGTCCTGCCACCAGAAGGGGCACGCAAGGACTTCCACCTGCCCAAGGGGATTCCGCACCCCCCAAAAAAAACTGATTGGGGGAACCCCCAGAACAGCATGCAGGGGGAGGGAAGATGGGGGTAGATTTCCGTCCGGCTGAAAAACAGGCCCTGACGGAACAACTGAACATAGCGCTTCAGTGAATTCCTCCCTTAATATAGATTTGAATTAGTTGCTATAAAGTGGAGGGGGGGATCAAATATACTCCTAAACAAAGACCGGTCAGAAAAATGCCACCTTCTTGCGAGAGTCTGCGACCTGGACAGCATCTCCTGTACAGGTGAGAATCACACAAGCAAGTAGGACCCCCATAAAAGACGTTTGGGCCCCCCTGAATCTGTTGTGGTAATGGGAACTGGGGGGCAGGTTGTGCACCCTCTTTTCACATCCAATATGAGGCTGCATTTTAATGTTTCAATGTTGTATTTTAATCTTGTTTTTAAGTTGTGTTTCAATCAACTTGTTTTTATTATTGGTTGTTAGCAGCCCTGAGCCCGGTCTTGGCTGGGGAGGGCGGGGTATAAATAGAATTTATTATTATTATTATTATTATTATTATTATTATTATTATTAATCGCAACCTGCGGCCCCCACAGGTCCAGATGGAGAGCAGAGAGCATCCGAAGGCGGTCAGGATGCAGGAGGCGATGGCTCCAGTGGCCTCAGGTGACCTCCCTGCCTGCCCTCAGCAGCCCCCCCCCCCATGCGATCTCATCCGGGGATTCCCTTTGGGAAGGGCTGCCCAGGACAGGCCTGCCGCTCTGGATTAGGAGAATTACAAGGCAGCTGCCTCCTTCGCAGGTGGAGGGGTCAGGAGGCCCCCGCCGGGGGTCGCAACCTGTCTGCCCTCCCGGCTCCCAAAGGCACTGCCCCCCCCCCCGGCATCCTTGGACAGCGGCTGACAAGAGCTGGAGGCCCCATGTGTGCGGCGCAAAGCAAGGCAGCCCCGGAGAACTCTGCACGCTCCCAGGAAACGCCTGCCCTCCCCTGGAGCAAAAGAGGAGATTCGCTATCAAAATAAGAACTGACTGTAAATGTTAGGAGGATGGATTTGGCGGGGGGGGGGGGAAGATAGAGGTGGTTCCCACCCTCCAAAGGAAGTTTGCGAGGCAGGAGCAGGGGAAAAAAGATGGGATCCTGCCAACTTTCTAAAGGCAAACATTCCTTTGTGCGCCTCCCGCCCCCCCTCCCCATTTCTCATGACAATCAAAGTTTGGCTCCCTCCGAGGAGAAATTTATAAGAGATTATCCCAGCCCAGAGGCAGCCTCACCCGGAATCTAATCCTGCTATCCCAAGAGCGGAGGGGGGGGCTCCTGGAAAGCCGCCCCCTCCCCTGCAAGTTACCCCAGGCCTCCATTAGCCCCTCAAATGTTTTTAGACATCTAATTGGAAGGAGAAAGAGCCCCTGCCAACATGTTTCCAGCTGACTCAGCAGGCGAGGGGTTAGGGAGAGCGGACCCCCCCCAAATCTCCAGCGCACAAAAGGTCGCCCCCTCCCCTTATTGTCAAGACCTTTTCAAAGCCTCTGGGCTGAAGAATTGGCTCTGGGGTTGAGGAGGAGAGAGAGAGAGGAGAAGAGAAATCTTGCTCCCCTCCCTCCAGCGACAGAGGGGGGGTGCCAAGGAAGGTGGGCAGGCAGGTAGGCTGGCACAAGGGGGGGCGTTGAGGGTGCGCCAAGGCCCTGCCCACCTGGCCCCATTCAGTGCCCACCCTCCTCGGCTCCCACCAAGAAGGGAGCCAACTCCTAGCTGCCCGTTCCCTGAGCCCCACAGAAAAGCCCAGCCTGGCACAGGGAGGGGCACCCCAATCTCTCCCCCCTCGCCCAAAAAGGGATCACAGGGGTCACCAAAAAGTTTGGCAAGTGTTTAAATAAAGGTGCCCAAGGGTGGACAGGGAGATTGGCATCCTTTTGAGGCTGGGAGGGGGGCATTCCTGATCCTGGCAGCAGGAACCCCCCCCCACAGGGGGGTTCTGGAGTTTGGCAGGGGGCAGAGATGTCACAGGGTGGGGGGTGAGGGTGGGGGCATCAGGGTGGCCCTGGCAGGGGCTGCCCTTGACCTGTCTCTCGCCACAGGGCACCCAGATTGGGGGGGGGGTGTCTCTCTTGCACTTCCTGGGCCTGCAGGGGGCATTGGAGGCCCCACCTTCGCAACTGCAGGGCTGTGCCCATCTCCCCCCCCCCCGCCAACCACTGGTGGGGGGGCAACAGCAGCACGCAAAGCCCCCCCCTTCCAAAAGAGCAGGAGGGAGAGAGGGAGGCGGAGCTGGGAGGCTGGCACCGTGCCAGGCGGGCGAAGCCATCCCCGCACGCAACGGAGGGGGGCACAGCCTGGGGGGGGTGGCTGTTGCACGGAGCGTGGGGTGGGTGGGGGAAATCCAGACCGGGGGGGGGCCTTCCTGTATCGGATCTGGCATGCTAGGGAGGGGTGGGGAGCTCAGCAGCAGCAGCCCCCCCTCCACGTTCGCCCTTCACCAGCCGCAGTGCAAAGCCTTCAAGGACACAGCTGCGCCCGCCCCCCCCCCCAGGCTCCGGGCAGAGAAGGGTGACAGGCAGCGCCTCGCCCCCCCCCGGCAGGGAAGCCTCCGGCCAAGCTCCCCCCCCCCACTCCGCGACCGAAACCGGGAGGGGGGGTGCAGGGAAACAGGCGCCCGCTCGCCATGCATCATTTCCGCCGCCCCCCCCGCCAAAACTAGGCGGGGGAGGGAGGGGGGGGAAATGCACCAGCCTCCCTTCTCCACCCCCAAGCTACAGGTGTGCGGGGGGAGGACGAGAGTTAGGCGCCCCCCCGCCGCCCCTCCTAGGCAGAAACCCCCCCCAGATCCCCCTCGTCGCCTCTCCTGCCCCCCCCAATAGAGGAAAGGAAAGAGGGGCGCCCCCCCCAGGGTCATGCCAGGCTGCCATGTTTGCCGCCCGCTTGGCAGGAGAATGTCAAACCCGGGAAGCGGAGGCGATCTTGGGGAACCCCCGGGTCTCCCCCAAGCGTGGCTCGGGGTGGGGTGGGGTGGGGTGGGGGGGCTCCCATCTTTGCAAACTCCCCCCCCAATAGAGCAGACACGGGTCAGACACGTCTGCAGAAATGGGGGGAAATTAATAAATAATCACAGCCGACCCCCCCTCCCTCCTCCCTCTCGCCCGGGCACACCGCACGGCGCACGCGCGCACACGAACACAGGCGAGGAGGGGGGGGCGCCTCGCCGCACTCTGCCTCCTCTCCCCCCCCCGAGCAAGATACCTTCCTGTCCCTCCTCCTCCCTGCCAGATACGTGAAGTTCAAGTTCAACCCAATGGGCAGAATCTCGAGGGAGGGGGTGATGGGTGGAAAACCGGGGGGGGGCGCACACCGGGCAGCCTTGCCAGTCCCCGTGCCAACCCCTTTGAACTTGAAGAGTGCGGGGGGGGGAGAGGTGGAGGCGCTGCCAACCCCCCTCCCCTCCCTCCTTCCAACCCATCCCAGCAAGTGGCGGGCGGGGGGGGGGAAGCCTCCCATTTCCGTGCAATGCAACCCAATGCAACAAGCGGGGGGGGGGCAGAGTTGCTGCTGCTGCAATTTGGGCACCTTGCAAAATGCAAGCCGAGAAAGGCGGCCAAGGGGGGGGGCTCTGCCCGCTTCCCTGCAGCAGCAGCAGCATGTCAAGCAGCGCCCCCCAAAAAGAGGGGCATCGAGGACTCCCCCTGCCCCCCCTGCAAACTGTCAGCTGCTGCTGCTGCACCCCCCCCCGGGGAGGGGGATCCCCTCCTCCTCCTCCTCCTGCCCCCCCCTCTTTTTCTACCTTGCTCCCCGGCGCTGGTCTTGCAGCTGCTGCTTCTTCCTTCCCGGGGGGGCTCCTCGTCCGCCTCCTTCCTCCGCGCTGCGCTCGCCTTGCCCTGCCTGGGAGGAGGAGGAGGAGGAGGAGGCCTCGCCCGCCGCCGCCGCCGCCGCCGCCGCCACTGCAGCACCGAAGCCGCTCGGCTCGGCTCGGGCGGGATCGGAGCGCAGGGCCCGCCTCTCGCCCACAGGGGGCGCCAGAGAGAGAGAGAGAGAGAGCGCCGCCCGCGCCCGGCGGGTCCTAGAGCCCCGCCGCTTCTCCCCTCGGGTCCCGCCTGGCCAGAGCTGTCAACGTATTTGAAAAGAAGGGTAAAAGAAGAGATAAAATAAAGTTGTGATTAAATGGGCACAAGGTTAAATGTTAGTATTTTTGTATGTTTTAATTTTGTATTGTTGTGTTTTATATTTCTCTTGTGTTTTTTATTGTTCTTTGCTCTGGCATTTTCTTATTGTTAAAAACTTAATAAAATATTATTATAAAAAAAAAATGGGCACAAGATGTAGGTCACAACATTATGATGGAAGATTGAGAAAAATTATGGAAAACTGACTTAAAATTTACAGATTGTTCCCCATTGAAGGAGAACAGCGGCGTAGCGTGGGTTGTCAGCACCCGGGGCAAGGCAAGGAATTTGCGCCCCCTAACCTGCCGCCGCTGCCAGCTTCTTCTTGCTGCTGCCTGGGCTGGGGTATTTACGGTAAGGTAGCCACGGCGGCGGCGGGGGGTCCGTGTCAGGTGATCTGAGGCGAGTTGCCGCTGGCACTGCTGCCCAAACGACACCGCTTGCCCAGAGGAGGAGGAGGGCAGAGAGGCGAGGAAAATGCAACATGGCCCAGCAGCTGCAGCGGCGGCGGCGGGGCTGTGAGGAGGGGCTGCCTGGCGAGCCATCCGCGGCCCTGGCGCGCGGGGACCGCGGCGAGCGCTGAGAGCCGCTGCCAGCTCGTCGGTTCCGCGAGACATGGGGCTCTGCTACAGCTTGCGCCCGAGGCTCTTCGGCGACTCCAGAGGCGGCGAGCGCCCCCCCCCCCAGATGTTGCGCCTGGTGCGGCCGGCCCCCCCTGCACCCCCCACGCTATGCCACTGAAGGAGAATTACATGAAGATGATGTACAGATGGTACACGACACCAGTGCAGTTAGGGAAAATGTACAAATATATGTTGGAAGTGTAAGGAAAAGGAAGTGACATTTTATCATATGGTGGGATTGTAAGGTAATTTTAAAAATTTGGGAAATGATATACAAGGAATTGAAGAAAATGTTCCACTTAACATTTGTTAAAAACCTGAAGCATTTTTGTTGGGGATTGTAGGAAAAGATCTGCCAAAAAAGCTGAAAAACATCTTCATGTATGAGACAACGGCAGGAAGAGTTCTAATAGCACAAAGATGGAAGACTGAAGAAACCCCAACTAAAGAATCATGGCAAGAAAAATTGATGGATTATGCAGAACTGGCAAAATTGACATATAAGCTACGGGACAAGGATAACTGTGACTTTAAGGATGAATGGGAACCCTTTACAAAGTATTTGAAGACGCAACAAAGTGAACTGGACTCCTTGGCAGGTTTTGAATAAACATTCACAAACTTTTTTTTTATGATAATCAGCTAAATAGTTTGAGGATCTATACAACGGTGTAACATGCAGAAAACAGCATTCTTAGAGAAATCAAAGACTGGAACTGAGGGAAGTCGGGGGGTGGGGGTGGGAGGGGAGGAAAAATGGGGGGGAAACAAGGATATGTTTTTGGATAATATGCCTAATTATAATTTTGAATAATAATAAAAAAGAAAATAAGGGACCAGCAGTCTCGAAAATAAGGGATCAGCAGCCAAAATAAGGGACAGAAATCCGCCACGCACAGTTCCAAGAGTGACTGTTTATGCTTATTCAATTCCTGCTCTTCTGCTGGGCTGTTGTGGAGCCTCAGTGGCCCAAACGCAAAGCTGAGAATGGATCGAGACACATGTTTTGCAGTGGCACCACTTATGCTATTCCAGGCTGCATCCAGGGACGCGGGTGGCGCTGTGGGTTAAACCACAGAGCCTAGGGCTTGCCGATCAGAAGGTCTGATCGGCGGTTTAAATCCCTGCGACGGGGTGAGCTCCTGTTGCTCAGTCCCTGCTCCTGCCAACCTAGCAGTTCAAAAGCATGAAGTGCAAGTAGATCAATAGGTACCGCTCCGGCGGGAAGGTAAACAGCGTTTCCGTGCGCTGCTCTGGTTCGCCAGAAGCGGCTTAGTCCTGCTGGCCACATGACCTGGAAGCTGTACGCCAGCTCCCTCGGCCAGTAAAGCGAGATGAGCGCCGCAACCCTAGAGTCGGTCACCAGAGGCCTTTCTCTTGGGTATTGTCGGCCAAGGGTGTTAAAGAAGGATACAACATTTTTTATGTATGCTACAACAGCAGCAAGAATACTTATCGCTAAGTACTGGAAGACACAGGACTTACCCACCGTGTAAGAATGGCAGGTGAAAATGATCGACTACATGGGACTAGCAGAGATGACGAGCAGAATCCAAAACCAGGGAAGAGAAGCAGCGGAAGAAGAATGGGAAAAATTTAAGGACTATTTAAAGAAATACTGCAAAATTAATGAAGGATAAAATGATGTTGGATTAGTGAGTAAATGGTTGCTAGCGGTAATGGTTAAGACAAAGAGAATATATAAGAGTTAATTAAAATAAAATAGGAGAAGATTTGCTGACTATTTGGTTGGAAATGGGAATACAGAAAGGGGAAGCATGAGGAAGTCGGGGAAGTAAGGTACAAGAAAATGAGATATGAAATTATACATGTCATTTTTCTTTTGTTTGTTGTGATTGTTTTGTTGTGTTTTTGCTTTTGTTGTTATAAAAATTCTTAATAAAAATTTATTTTTTAAAAAAAATAATAGAGTCGGTCACCAGAGTCGGAGTAGGGCAGGCGCCACTACCAAGAAGGCCCTCTGCCTGGTTCAACGGTCTGGAAACCAAGCCTAATGAGGAACGGTTGAGGGAGCTTTGTATGTTTAAAATGGGCTACTATTAAAATGAGGCTGCATTTTAAATTGTATTTTAACCTGTATTTTAATAAACTGGTTCCCCCCCACCCATTATGTTTTATTGTAATTTTACTGGTGTTAGCTGCGCTGAGCATAGCTGTCAACTTACAGATTTGAAAATAAGGGACCAGCAGCCTCGAAAATAAGGGACCAGCAGCCAAATTAAGGGATTTTGGCTTAGTTTATGCAGAAATCTGCCACTGATGGAGCCATGCTGCTTTGGCTGCCACTGACTGTGTTTTTCAGGGGGTTGGACTAGATGATCCTAAGGGTCTACAACTCCAACCAAAGAAGAGGGGCAGACAAAACTGATGAACGACGTCGAGACGGCAAAGCTTACAGGCAGAATTAGAAACCAGGAAGAGGACTTCTTTCATAAAGAATGGGGAAAGTTTATAATTTAGTGGAATAGCTATTGTCAAGAGTTACATACATTGGTAAGATTGACAGAAAACTTGTAGTAAAACTTTGAACTATGGATGGACAAATGATTTATAAAAATAGAGTTAGGAAAGGGATGCAGAGGGGGAAATCACTACATTAAGATGCTGCACTGGTTGGAGGGGATGCTAAGCAGCACGTCGGGGCTGCCGTCGTCCTGGCGCGAGGAGTTCCATCGGCCCTTCCCCGCCCGAGAGAGAGGGATGGAGGGAGGGAGAGTCTCGCCCACGCTGCCCGCAAGCCTGGCATGAGGCGGTTGCAGCGCCACAGCAGCCACTGAAGCACCGCCCTTCTGCGTCCTGAGCCAAGCAAGCATGAATCCTGGGAAATTTAAGGGACATCATCAATAAGGGACAGCAGCGGAACATGGCGCTGGGATAAGGGAGTTTCCCACCAAATAAGGGACGGTTGACAGCTATGGCCCGGGGAGGGGGTTTTGCCGCCAGTTTCTCTCAGCTGGCCTAGGCAGCCCGGAAGATCGCCATGAAAGCGCTGCCTGGGCCAGGTGTTGGACTTAGGCTCTCTGCACGTGCTCAGGGGAACTCTTGTTCAGGAAGAGTTAAGGGCTGTTTGACAGGGGAACGGTCTCCCTCGGCAGGTGGTGGGCTCGTTTTCCGGGGGGGGGGTTCCAAGCAGAGTTTGGGTGGCCATCTGTCAGGGATGCTTTATCTGAGATTGCTGCACAGAATGGGGTTGGACTAGATGACCATCGGGGTCCCTCGCAACGCTGCAATTCTGCAATTCTTTGAGAGGGGCCTTTTCATACCAGGAAGCCCATGTCAGGTTCATTCAGAATTGCACAGAAATAGGCCAACTTGAGAAGTGCTTTCAGTTCTGCCTCATCTGGAATTGGGTGGGACTGGGGGGGATGGAGGGACATGCCTCTCTTTTTACATACTTTTTAAAAAATAATTTTAAATTTTTTATTAGTATTTTCCACTCAACAACAATACGAAAAATATTGAAAAATAACAAAACACAAAAACCAGCATACAAAAACACAAACCCATAGCTTACAACTTACTAATATAAACACTAAAAAGAAAAACAAACACTGACTTCCACCAGTCCCATAGCACCTCCTTTACCTCTCCTTGTGTCTTCCTGTCTTCCTTATCATCTCTATCCTATCATCCAGATACAAATCCCTCTTTCTTATCCTTTCACTTCGCAAGGTTATTCCAGACTCAGCCAGATTTCTGTCCTCGAACCTTGGCTTTTGAGGTATTCATTTAGGCGCTCCCATTCCCTTTCCACTTCACTTTTTGGTTTTTGTCTTATTATATCTGTCAATTTGGCTAATTCTAAATATTCTGAAAGCTTACATAACCATTCTCTTTTTACAGATTAAGCACCGCTGCTGAGACCAGCACTGTCTCTGAGAAATGCCCCCCTTGGTATCTCAATCAGCCCTGAAGTTCTATTTCTATCTACTACTTAAAGCTTTGTGACAAAATCTAGCTTTTGTTATTTCCAAAGATCACCTGCGTCTCTTTGCAGCATCCTGTAGCACTGAGTTCCATAGGTTAATTCAGATCTGGGGAACCTTACCTTCTAGATGCTGCTGGGGTGGATGGGAGTTGTAGGTCGGCAACTTGTGGAGG